AGGAGCCGGCAGCCGTGGAGGCCGAGGGGCCCAGAGCGAGGGTTGCGACGCAATGAGCCAGATGACGATCTATTGCCGCCGCCAGCTGGCACAGAGAACCAATACTTAGGCGTCGCCGGAGTTGGAGGGGATCAGGGAGGAGGAGGGGATCGAATGGGAGGAGCTGCGGATGTGCATCGCCAGAGCACAGCTTATACAGCCACGTCCAGGCCATGCAAAGAGACGATCAGGTCCATTCAATGCGGCGAAGCAGCAAGAGTTGGTTTCTCGGGACGCAACATCGGCATTGAACCGGCAACACACGAGAGGTGGCGTCGGTCAGCGTCGCCCACCCGTCCGGTCACGTCGCGCGACTTCAATGTCGGCTGCTACATGCTCTGGACCGATATGAATGCGACGCGGAAAGTGGCACGTGTGTTGGATCGAAAGTGCAGGAGGGCGAGGAGGGTTTTTGGTAGGCCAGATTTGTCGGAAGCGGACGTGGTAGCGGTCCACACACCCGCATACCCCCACCCCCACCCCCCCACCCCCCGGCGCGGTTTGTGGAAAAAATATCGTCTAAACCATCAAATACACTGATACAGAACTATATTGGATGTTAAAACACGTCCGGACACCGTGGGCCGGGCAATTGCATACGGTTCGAGGTTCCCGGGATGCCCTAAGACTAGTTTGTTTGCAATCCTACAGGCAGCTAACATGCCCTCCTTTCCATCTTGGCAATTTTATAGCATCTACAGTCGGACCTCTCGAAGCCACCTCATACGTCTGGGTGGGCTGCCCGGTCACGTTTTTTTTTTTGACCCAGACGGACGTCTCAAACGGGCCTCAAACGCCCGGACTGACCGGCATCCCCCATATCCAGCCCAAATATGGGGCGGATATGGGGTGGCCCGGACACGCACGGGCGCGTTCGCCTGACAAGCCCGACCCAGCACCGACCCCACGGATGTCCGACAAAAAAAAACCATCAGCCTCGTCGGTCCGAAATCCTAGCTCACTCACTCTCCTCTCTCGCTCCTTCCTTTCCTCTCCTCTCACCGATTCCGATCGAATCTGGCGCAATGTCGAGCTCCGGCAGCCGCTCTGACGAAGAGGTGGATCCGGAGTATGAGCTTGCCCTCCGTATCGCCTTGAAGCGGTCCAAGGTGGACACCGGGGGCAGCTCCGGATCTGCAGCCGCCGCTTCCCCATCGACGCATCTCGGACGCCGGCGCTGGCCCCTCCCGGCCCATGGGCAGCTCCGACAGGCGGCCAAGCGCAATCGAGCAGTCCGAGCGGGAGGTGTTCGAGAAGGCGAAGGAAGCGGCTCAGCTAGCCAAGCTCAGGCGCCAGTAGGACCAGGCCGTCCAGCGCCTCAAGGGCCTCGTCATCGTCGACTCCTCCTCCGACGACGACGACGACGGCTCCTCCTCCGATGAATCGGATGATCCTCCACTAGCCGACGACGGGTACAGCTACGTCGGCGACCAGAAGGGGAAAGGGTCGGCCCTGAAGTGGTGAAGTTGATTTTAATTTCAAGTTTTAAATGTAGTATATAGGTGTTTGTTGTTTGTGTGGACTGTGGTGGATCTTTTGGTGAACTATTGTGTAATTTTATGTCTGGAGTTGATCTACGTAGTTTGATCGATGTTGCATGCTATGGTATGGATATAGGGGTTCGGATATGAGAGACACGGATGTGGACAACACGATTTGAGGAGTACCCGGTCAGTGTCCGAGCGCGTCCGCGAGTGTTTAAGGGTCCGGATTTGCCAAGTCCGACTATAGACGCTCTTACTACTAGTACTCTGGCCAAGCCTATTCTGGTACGGAAACTAAACGTATAGCAGGCTAAAGTTCCTTTTTTTTTTTGCATATATAAAGATCTACACGGGCTAGTCTTCGGTGGTCGGGCACCAGGAACGATGGAAGCAGTAACATTGTCCGCCGACGCCGTCCACGCAGTAGTCTGGCAACGAAGGTCAATCGCCCCGCCAGATGCGCCCGCCGCCGCCAATTGGTCTGCCCTGCCGCAAGACCTCCTGCTGGCCATTATGGCGGCGCTGGAATCTGGATATCCCCAACCTCGTCCGTTCCGGCGCCGTTTGCACGTCCTGGCGCGACGCCTACAACACCTTCTGCCTGCTCTACGCCTGCGACGAATACGGCCCCAACGAGGCCGCCCTGTACTGCCCCTCCACCAGCGCCACCTTCCGCGTCCCCTTCCCCGGCCCGCCGCACGAGAAGCGGGGCTTCGTCTTCTCGTGCCACGGCTGGGTGTTCGCTGCCGATGAAGTCGGCGACCCGTACCTCTTCAACCCCGCCACCGGCGTCCAGGCCGCGCTCCCGCCGGTCAATACGATCATGGTCCGGGTCCGCGGTAAAAACTTCTACGACCATGAAGGCAAGCATGTCTTCGAACTCGACAGTGTCGACGAGAACGGAGACCCGAAAACCGACGTCCTCTGGGCACGAGATTCGGAGTATATCCGGGTCGCCATCTCCCCCGCAGCAGAGGTGACCGCATGCACTGTCCTGATCTTGCACTGCCCGAGTTCGAAGCTCTCGTTCGCCAAGCCGGGCGATAAGCGATGGGCACTGCTCCCCAACTTTCAAACCGGTCGTGTCAGTGATGTTCTTTATAACGATAAGGACGGCCTGTTCTACGTTCTACATAATACTGCCATCAGTGCTGTGGATCTCAATGGGCCTCGGCCGAGGGTGAGGGTGACCATGCGTTCCACAATGATATTGAGGACTGCCGATATGTACCTCGTCATCGCGCCATCGGGCGAACTCCAGGTGTGGAGGATGCGGCATACCATAGATACCCCACTCAAGAATCGCTCGACATATAAAGACATTGTGGACTATGTGATCGATGATGGCATTGAATTGGCAAACAAAAATGGCAGCGACAGGGTTAGTGAAACCGTCATCGATGACCAACACCACATTGACGCTAAGGAGCTGCCTAATAATGAGGTCAACACGACAGAGGTCCTAGTCTTCAAGGTTGACATGGACAGGCAGAAACTGGTAGAGCTTCAGGACATTGGAGACTGCACAATCTTCCTTGGGTTCAATGCCGCTGTGTGCCTCTCGACAAAGGACACAACATTACAACCAAACTGCATCTACCTCACGGACGACTACGACCTTCCATCAAATGAGCGGATGTTGCGGAATGACCTTGGTATCTGGAACATCAAAAAGAGGAGTATGCAGAACCTTGGCGATGCATGGCCAATCATGCATTCTTGGTTAGATTTACCGGCTCCAATTTGGATCACACCAAGTTTAGCTACCGGTGTAGAGAAACAGTACTAGAGGGCTACGGTGTTTCTAGCAACGTAACTGGATTTTTACTGGACAATAAGTCGAAATACCATAGAATTTGCCAAGCTTTGTTCACATAGTTTTACTCGAATCGGAATGTGAGCACACCCTCACTTTTTTTGTACAAAAGGGTGTAGAATGTATCTTGCTTCGAATCCACTTTTCCTTTGTTGATCCATATGTTCTGCTGTTCTTCCATGTACTGAAGCTGGCGTGGTTGTTGACCAGTTTGATCTGATGTTGAAGTTGGATTCGAAGTTGGATTGGCGCCAGGTTCGATCAGGTTAGGAATCAAGTGGTCGGGTTGACGATGCCATCACAACGATGCAGAGGCCGGGGTTATCGTTTTCAACAAGAAGGATGCATACGCTCATTAGTCCAGTCCTGACATGAATCGGCAGCCCTTGATTCACCGACCGACCATATGGTTACTTGCCTACTTGCTCAGCTCTGATCCGGCCTGCTTGGGCGTGGTCGTTGGAGCCTCCGTGCACAAAAGTTGGCGAAGATGAAATAGCCGGTGCAGAGATGACGATGGCGATGGGCCTCTGTTCGTTATTTGCTCGTGCACTCGTGCTAGGATCTAGTATGATGGTCGCAGCCTTTGACGATGCTCACACGTTGGAGATTCATTTTTCGATAAAGGGCGCTTTTATTAACTCCAAATGTAGCATCGAGAGATACAGAACATTAAGAGTATCACCCGGCCTCTGCATAATTAGGATGCACACAGCCAAACACCAACAGTCTGACAAAAGAACGTAAAAAAGCCGACAGTTCGGCAACGGTAGTCCTATAGACCGAGACTATGCCTATGTCGAAATGGATGGTGGACCAATCCGGAGATTCCGCTGCCACCCATGATGGTGAACGCGTTGGAGATTCATGTGTAGAAAGAAAATTCCCTCAAAAAAAAACTGTGCAGAAAGAGAAAACAAGTATGCAACCTTTTTGGGTGTGCAAAAGGATGGCTGGATCGATCATTAATACAACATGGAGCTGGCCGTGTTCAGTGGCTCTTGGCCTAATGCGTTTTCGTTTCGTGAGAACTATTTCTCCTTATGGCAATGCTGTGGCTCGGTAGCATTACCTGGGGAGACTAGACTTAGAACCGCTGACAAACGGGGATTGTGTTAACAGAGGCCAAGGTTTTGCAAATATTTACAGCTTGTATAGAACTTATACCAGCGCTGTTGTAGAAAAAAGTACGGCTAATTCTTTGGTTCTCAGAGCTGTGTCTAATTACTCTTTCGTTAAGAAAGTTGTGATTGCGAGGTATAGATGATCTTAGAATGAAGTACACCCTCCGTCCCATAATACAAGATATTATTACAAAGCGGGTGGGTCTAACTTTTCAAAATGCTCCTTCAAGGTTGTATTTGTTTATGACCAACAGCATTAATAAGATTAGGCTACAGAATACCACTCAGAAAATAAACTCTTTCCACCATATTATGCGGGCAAGAAACTCTCACATCTATAATCAGGTGTGTTCTACCTAGAAATATCTCAGGGAAACAAAACGAGAACTTGCATAGGTTTTATAACCTCTGCATAGTGCCACAAGTTATACTGAATTAACGTAATAAGAACCAAGACCATGTGCAAACCTTATACAAAAACCTACCAACAGATGGCTGTTCAGTTAGCGTAAAACTAAGCCCCGTGAAACAAAGCCTTTACTCATCCTCTCTTCTGAGCATTGTGCCTGATATCTGAACGTATGCCATCTGAGTGTAACCGTTGAACACTGAAGCGTCCAATCTACTCAGGCCAATTCTTTGAAACAAGCCATGGCGTCCATCTTCAATGATGGGATCGGATGCGCGGGCTGGGTCATATCTTGTCTGGTGAGTTAAGGACGGACCAGCAACAGGAGGTAGTTCCCAATACAGATCCAACACAGACTCAACAAGCCTGCTGTTCTGGAAATGCTCTTTGTGTGAGATGGCCTCATTGCTATGGTTGAAATTGTCACGCATGTAACCTCTGACTCCCCACCATGCATCATCCTTTCCACATAGTTCATCTATGTCCACAGCCTTCCCCCAAAACTTCATTCGTTCCGACCTTAATCTTGCTTCGTCACTATCCCAGAAGCAGCTATGTCCACCGCCTTGCATGTATAAGAGTGGTATAATTAGTTTTGGCAATAGTGGATGTCTGCCTTCTGTTAGTTTCACCGCAAGGAATCTTCAAGAGAATATTACTACCCAGCTAAGACATTGCGAGAACATGTTCAAATGGGAAAGTATAAATTGTATTACCCCAAACTTCGTTTGTACTATAAACATTAGATTAGAAAACATTCAAAATACCAAGGAGGTATGTTAAATATTAGGAAAACATAGTACCCACTACTTGCTTGCGACAAAAAACATACAGTATGGAACATGAAGTAGTTGCCATGAAAAGAGTACTACTCCCTCCTTCCCAAAATATAAGGCGCGCTTGACTTTGCACGGTCTTTGATGCATGACTTTGACCATTAATATATACTCCCTCCGTCCGGAAATACTTGTCGTAGAAATGGATGAAAATAGATGCATCTATAACAAAAATACGTCTAGATACATCCATCTCTCCGACGAGTATTTCTGGACGGAGGGAGTACTAAAATACATGAATTGAACATGTATTAATAGTATCATCGTATTTGTCTTGCAAAACAATTCTATTTCATATGCCTTCATAATAATTTTGTAGGCACACAATAAGTGAAAATTATAGTCAAAGTTGTGCGATGAAGACCAAAAAAGTCAATGCGCGCCTTATTTTCTGGGAAGGAGGGATTATATGGTATGACCATACAGATATAATTTTCAAACTGTGGTGGTCCAAGGTTTTTATGTGTGGTATACCCTTCACAAGGCGCAAGGACCAACTTGGAGCAGATTAGACTGCAGCAGAGGAAGGGCATGTTCAGTAGTGGAGCTTAGTGGAGATCAACCTGGGCCCATGAACGGGCTCTTGCGAGTGTCAGAGCATGTAACCATGTATAAGAAGTGATGGTTAGCTTCATAGATGTGCTTAAGAATGTCTATCACTTCTAAGCACCTCTTAAGTTGGAGAGCATCTTATTTAGGTTACTATTCTCTACTCGAAATGCAACATGATGATACCATTTATAATTATATGATTATAAGAGATAGACAAGAATTCTTCTAAGCACCTCTTAAGTTGGAGAGCATCATATTTAGGTTACTACTCCCTCCGTCCGAAAAAGCTTGTCCCAAGCTTGTTCATCAAATGGATGTATCTAGCACTAACTTGATGCTAGATATATCCATTTGAGGGACAAGCTTTTTTGGACGGAGGGAGTATTATCTACTTGAAATGCAGCATGATGATACCATTTATAATTGTATGATTATAAGAAATAGACAGGAATTCTTGACAATGATGAAGACCAGACAACATATTGCAGAAGACACATGAAATAGTTTCAAACACCATATATGCCTCAGTAAGAAAAGACTTAAAAAACATGAAAACACAACTATACCCAATATCTACTTAGCCAATACCGTATATGCATTTGATAAGAAAACATTGTTAAAAGTGGAAAAACAATAATCACTGACACACAAATATGGTAATCATGTCCAAAGCTTTTACCTTAAAAAAAGAGTGGTAGGTAGGAAATCATATATTATGTGTGTGATACTAATGTATATCACTCAAAGCAAATCAAGTAGATAACAAGTACTGGCAATTAAAACAGAAGTAACTAATTACCTAATCTAAAGTGAGGTCATATTACAAAGACAAGCTTACGCTACGCAAGTGATGCTAACAATATAAACATCTCGATTCAAGTACTCCCTCCGTCTAGGTGTGTAAGTCATCTTACATTGCGCACTGTGACCAAGGTGGAGGGGGAAACGAGAGAACTTAATGTGTTTTTACTAATTAATAACAATGCATGCAACGAACTGACCAATGCATGTCGTGTTTGGTAGTCTCAAATCATTTAAAGCATGCATGATCCACATCTCTTATTGGTTGATATGTCACGAAACAAGAAACGAGATGAGAGTTAATGTACCGCGCCTAAGTGTTTTGGGATTATTTGGTTTTCGTAAGATGACTTACACACCTAGACGGAGGAAGTAACAAAGGTACATGCAACATTTGATACATATTGAAGACATAGAATGTACAAAGGTGGCGAGGTCACACTTACACACCTCTGATGTGTGATTGATCACATATCTATCTCAAGGAATAATGGTCGCCTGTACCAGTGTCATAGTTGTCCTCAAATATGAGATGCCGGAATCCAGCTTTGTGTGCCTGCTTTAACCTGCACATAATAGGTCATGGACTAATTGTAAATTCGAATTGATATGCAGATAAAAATCAAGAATATACAAATAGTGCTGCTATGGTGCTGCAAAACAATACGATACTTACTTACTTACGAAGCCTTTTATCCCAAACAAGTTGGGGTAGGCTAGATATGAAACCCTTTCACGAGGACTTCCCAGGAGGTCACCCATCCTAGTACTACTCTCGCCCAAATGGGTTTCATACCCAAAAGACTGGCTAGTTTTTACGTTGGCTCGCCAAGCCTATCACAACCCTTAGATATGAAACCCTTTCACGAGGACTTCCTAGGAGGTCACCCATCCTAGTACTATTCTCGCTCAAATGGGTTTCATACCTATGGGACTGGCTAGTTTTTACGTTGGCTCGCCAAGCCTATCACAACCCTCCTCCTTTACCCGGGCTTGGGACCGGCTATGCCTAGAAGACATAGGCGGAGTTTGCAAAACAATACGATGTGATATATAAATTCAAGCTGGACATCTGGGCCTTGTTTGTGAGCTAATTATAAGGATTTTGCTTACAAGAACAGAGCAGGTAGAAAATATTACGGATAGGATATAATTAAAAAAATCAACATCAGCAGAAAAAATCTACAGGAAGAATTTACCTCTTCAGCTCATTTTGGTGGTCATCAAAGAAAACAAGCACCTTGCTGGGATTAGAAATGCCATGCTTCATCAACAGTTTTTCCCAATCGACACTTCCAAAGTCAATAAAATCCTTCCCAGCCAGATAAGTGCAGTTTCCATCAACATACGCAGGTCCCTTCTTAAGATATTTCTCAGGGTGTCTGGGTGTGAGAGATATAATCCTAGTGTTTGGCATGGCCTGACGCAAAACCCAAGTTGAGTGCCCCTTGAATGCGCCACTCTCAATCATCAGGTTTGGCTTAAGCCATCGAGCCATAAACCAAAGCCCAAAACTGTGGTCAAATCTCATTCCATGCATGTTATTCTTGATAGGGCGTGTCTGATAGATTGGCACAAATTCTTCCAGTCCATTAAGTAAATCTTTCGAAGTCCATTCCACTGTCTTCCCAGTTTTGGATCTGCCTTTTGTGCAGAAAAGGTATAAGGTAGTCTAATGAATAATGATGTTCTGTATAATGCATTTATTATTTGAATAAATTATGCAGGTGTGAAGAAGTTCATGAAACAATAACCACACCTTACCAAAAATACCTATCAACTCATAGAGAAATATAATCGTTCTCACTATTAACAAATTATACAGCAGATACCAACTTAAACACCCACTCACTGGTGGCAGCTAAGATGATCTTATTGGGCTACAGTTGGAGGAAAACAAACAAATAGAACTACAGTTGATCATGATTCCGTGCTTGCTCCTCTACAGAACTAGTGGAATGATACTCCTCTATAGGACAAATTTGTACAGCCGAAACTTCTGCACCTTATAGGGATGACTGAATTATGCATCCCGAGCAGCTTACAAAATTATAGAACTAATAAGTTGGCCATTCCCGGAGTAAAGTATCGAGCAATTTGTATAATAACACTCAGAATTTCAGGTGAATCTGCAATGTACCAAGAACAAAGCTAACCCACACTTTACTGTCACTCTTAACTAAATTACCATATCCACAAGCATATAGCAGTAGGAATAAGGTTGACATCACAAAAGCGACAAATAAGTTGCCACCAAACATTGGCAAACTACAGGTTTATATCTGACATGGACATCATATAATCGTTCGAAGGAGGAATTTATTAGCTGGCAAGAGTGCGACCGGACTAGTCCAACAAAGACGGAACTGGATCTAATTCGCATGGAAACAACAGAGGCGCGAGGGCTTACACGAGGGGACGCCGAGGGATCCGAAGTCGGAGGCCGCGGCGGCGTCAGGGAGGGAGAGGAAGCGCGCATCGAGGCGCAGCGGCGGGCAGTCGGTCCGGGGGAAAGCTCGGCCGGCGAGGAAGGCAGCGGCGGCGAGGGCGAGGAGGAGAAGCGAGGCGGCCGCATAGTAAGGGTAGTGGAGCCGGGCGTAGGCCGCGGCGACGAAGGCAGGCTGCGCCTTCCGGGTTTTGGACTCGTCGACGTCGTCACCGGCGTTGGTGGCCGGTGACGACGAGGAGGCACCGGCGGTGCGGGCCGAGAGGCCCGTGTCGTGCATATCGGCGGGACGGTAGGGGGACTGAGATACAGTGTCCGGTTCGGGAACGAATGTGGGTCGGTTCTAGTCCTCTCTTTGGTAGGGGTAATTTGGAGACATGAAATGGTTACCTTTTGTTCATTTCATAATTTTTTATGTACGGAAGATGAGATTATATTGCAGAAGAAGAAAAATTATCAACCGCAAACACATTCATGAACATTGAATGGGATTTCAGCCACAAAAATTTGCTCAGAATCAATGTATATCACTTTTCTGGTACATATTCATGGCAGGATTCGTCAGCCTCGAGGCTTTCGAGGAGCGCCGCCAGCATCAAGCCTCCTTCTTGCGGGATTCTTAGCCATGCTTCGTCAAAACTGTATCAGAAAATTGGCGAAGTCGCACAGCGCTGGACACCCCAAGGATCTCGTGGTCTGCATCGGCTTCCTTGCTACCTCGCCCTTGCCAGATCCGTCGCCACCTAACATCTGCATGTTGCCCCTTCTGCCGCAGTACATCCCTTCCCCCAACGAGACGTCGCCCTGCCTTTCTTTCGCGTGAGCGACCACTGCTGCTTTTTCCTTCGATCCTAGCCTTGCGCCACAAGCTGCCCCCTCGCTACACCATGCCTCTCATCCTGAGTTGCCACAGTTACTAGTCGCCTTCTTGCCAGTGCCCGTCCCCTTCCCGGTTCGACCACGACAATCCCGCCCTGTCCAGCCCAAAGGATCACGCTAGCCCTCACCTCCTTCTCCTTCCTCTCATCAGATCCTTGGACGAGGGGAAGACGAGGGACATGAGTGTGCTGGCTGTGAAAGACGACGGGAGGGTGGTGGATGGAGTGTGGCTTGGTCGAGGGGGAGAAGGTGAGGGACATGAGGTGTTCCGTGTGGTCCCTCTGATTTGGAGGTATGATCACATTTCGGGTCTAGGGAGAATATGTCATT